GCCGTTACGTTTGGACCAATCCGCGGACTTCCTCACACACACACAATCGGCAGGACGTTGCGAGGCTCGCTGCCTCGAGGAGCGGGACACTGTGAGCTGGCTCACTGGTGTGGGGTCGGCGAGACAGCGAGACACCGCGGAACTCAGCCTGGGCACATACACAAACTCCCAGCCAGGCTGCGGGTGTGTGTGGGGGGGGGAGCAGGAGCTCCAACAAGCCGTTTAGTACAGAGAGTGAATACACATACTATACAGAGATGCTGTATGAGAAACCAATGTGAGTTTTGAAAATTGCACAATATAAATCTATTCTAGTAGACCTCAACAATGGAATTATGATCAGTAGAAATGGCCACGACACGGGACCTTTAAAGTTCAGAGCGTTAGTAGTAATTGTAATTGTCTGTTTCTGCAGAGCCTGAGTCAGTTCTGGTACAGTGACGAGACGGCAGCTCAGCTAGCAGAGGAGGCCGTAAGGGAAGCTGGAGAGGGAGGCAGGTAAAACCACACACACACACACACACACACACACACACACACACACACACACACACACACACACACACACACACACACACACACACTTCATTTAATTAAGTACTGTTCTATTTGTTTTTACATTTTATATTTTGGCCTTAAAACATTTTTATGAGGTTCTTTACAATGACCTTCATGACTACAGTGTCTTTTTATGAAATACTATAATATGACTTTGATGATAAACAATATGACACATTTGCATTAAATCGAAGCTTCTCGTCGAGGGCGTTGTTTAAGACTCACATTCTGCTGCCTTTGTGTTCTTGTCTATTTTCTGATTTTGTGTATAAACAAGATATTTCCCTTCTATGATGGATTGATTCTGAACATTGGTGCAAAATGGCCGCTGCAGAAAGAAAGTCCTCTCTCTGCTTCTGGGAAACCAGTCAATCACAACCAGACATAAAAGCTTCATCTCCTACTTCTGTCTCTCCTCCCCTGCAGGATAGCGTGTGTGAGCGCTCCCAGTGTTTACCAGAAGCTGAAGCAGGGCTCGGTGTCCGGCTCCGATCGAGTGTCGGCCGTCGTGTTGGAGTACGACCGGCGCTTCTCCACGTACGGCGAGGACTTCCTGTTCTACGACTACAACGAGCCGCTGGCCCTCTCCAACGCGCCGCCGCAGAGCTTCGACTTCGTCATCGCCGACCCGCCGTACCTCTCAGAGGAATGTCTGACTAAAGTGGCCCAAACCGTGAAGTACCTGAGCAAAGGCAAAGTGCTGCTGTGCACAGGTAAGGGAGGAGGGGGGGGAGATATCCGGATGAAAACAACATTTAATCTGCTGTGAGATGAAAACCAAGATATAATATCCAATATTTACACACTTGTGTTTCAATAAGACTAGATCTATGATATAGATTTGGTTGAGTTGTGTACCTACGTTATCCCTAATGTTTCACCGTGTCACAAATGTCTGATTCTTAACATCTGATGTTTTTACTCGACAGGAGCCATCATGGAGAAAGTGGCCAAAGAGCTTCTGGATATGAAAATGTGCAGCTTCCTGCCAAAACACAACAAAAACTTATCCAACGAGTTTCGCTGTTTCGTCAACTATCCGTCTCGACTGCTCTGATTGGTCCAGAGAGAAAGAGAGAGCATGAAGGAGGGAGGACGACTTGGACTGACCCTGCACTTGTGAATAAAGGACTCAAAGATGAACACATACTTTGTCATCTGCTGGCTAAAAACTGTTATTCAAAACATGGAAAATGTTGGTTAGTAGTTTCTGTTAGTATTCAAGCAAACAAACAGCAAATATTTGGTGGTTCAGTTTCTCAAATGTTTTTAATATCATTTTAAATAAAATATATATTTGACCATGGATCTTTGACTGTAGAAAATGACATATTCAAATGTTTTACTAAATTCTTCTGTTGCTGTAAAAGCTGTATTAAAGTGTTTACATCAGTAGGTGGCAGCACTGATCAGGTTATAGATGATAATGAGACTTTTTATCCCATCGTTCAATATTCGTTTGCTTTTACTTTAAAAGGTTGGGTCCACCCAAATTACAAATAATATTATCATGTATTGTATTCGATCTTAAATGCACACTGTTTACTTTTTCCTGCATTTTACTTGCACCATTGTTTAAATTGTGCTGTTTTTATTGCACTACTTTTCTTCCTTATTTCTATGACAGTTCATTGTCAAAAACTGCACTGTAACGTTTGAGCATTTGACAACGAAGCTTGAATCTTTGTAGTCAAGAAATCATCAAGTTTGGGTTCTGGAAGGCCAAATCCAAGCTTAGATTGAAGTGGGCTGGATATAAAATCTTATTTAGGAACAAAACGGACACAAACATTTACTTCTATGTGAAAACGTTTTGAAAAGATGAAGATCAGAAACTCTGTGCTAAACCCTTTATCATCCAAATATTCACTATGACTGTTAATGATAGCGTCTTATTTGCAGGTACAATTAAATGTAATTGCTTCAATTGTCAGTAGGGGGGAGATGATGACCCAAAGAAAGAGAGTCAGGTTTATAAAACTCATCCAGAGTCCCACAGTCTGCTCCCTCACACCTTCCTCCCCTTGGACCCCACCTCTCTGGCCTTGCTCTCGGCTCTCTTCAGGCTCTGGTTGCCCGCCCCCTCCCGCTCTTTCTCCTGCAGGGGGACGCAGGTGCAGCCCACCGCGATGGAGACGTACACTTCGGTGTAGGAGTGTCTCCCCCCCAAACAGGACCCGGCTCTCCGCAGGATGACGGAGGGCGCGTACACCGGGGTGCTCCGGTAGCGCAAGCTCTCCTTCCCGTAGGGCCCGAACAGGCAGCCCTTGCACAGGCAGTACGCCTCCGGGATGTAGCGGGGGTACCGGGCTGGGTCGTAGGAGAGCCTGGGGTGAAAACAATTAACATATCAGTTTGTCATTGGGTCACCTTATTGCTATTGAAAGGAAATGGGACTTTTCAATGAAGAAACTGCAGAACCTTAATAATTTGTTGTTTTAATAATAGAATAAGCTTTAAAAACCATTGAAAAGAGGAGTTTCCTATAGTGTAGTTATCAAATGCTACATGGGTTGGAGTCACTGAGACTCAAGAAATGGAAGCAATTGAAAAAAAATCTATACTTTTAAATAAAGAACTGCAGAATTTTCATAAAATTACTAAAATAAAGAAGTGCGTTGCAATCATAGGACTAAAGAATATATTATGTGTATAATAACATTCAAATAAAATAGAAGAAATCCAATAAAGTTGTGTGTCCTACATGTTCAGTGTAATAATACATTTCTGCATTGATATTGGGTCAAATGATATTGCCTGCAAATGATATGGAAGTTTTACAAATAAGTGAAAGTGCTTTTCTGCATACAAATATTCTGCAGAAGAAACACTAAAATCCAATAAAAAGAGGTGTGTCTTAATTGACCAGTGAAGTCATAATATCTGCTTTGGATTAGGAGTCAAAGGATCACAAGACACGGAAGCATATGTTTAAAGAAAATATACTGATGAACATATTCACATACAATTGAACAAATAACACTAACATCCCAAAAGGAAAGGTGTGTCTTGTTTGTCCAGTGTAATAGTTATAAGGTCACATGACATTCTAATCAATCACCCAGTTTAAACGGTTATTTATTGATGGTCCAACAACAGCATATTATTCCCCTGCTCTCACCGGTAGGCCCAGGGAGAGATGCTGAGCAGGTTCACCGGGAGGCGGGTCTTGCGGTCGGCGGGAGCGCGTGCTGCTGCGGCCGGGCACGTGAGGTTGAGTTTTTCCTGCGGCTCGAGCTCCAGCGCGTGGTGAAAAGCGCTCATCACTCCAACAGAGAGTCGCCCGAACATCTGCTCCAGGATCTCCTCCGGGAGGTCCAGGCAAGACCTGGTGGCTTTCTTCCGGACCCGAACCGCCCCGAGCGGCCAGCCCAGCAGCAGCAGCACGAGGATCAATGGAGGAACCATGGAGGAGATGTGGTGTGCCAAAAACTCAAAAAGTTTACCTGCGCGCTTTTATCGTCTTTGATTTTCTTGAATATGAAGATTTAAAAGTATGACTCCAGTTGAAGCTACTTCCCCCGCTTATAATCCAGTGAAATGTTGGAGTGTCACAGTCACAGTCCACATCTTGGACACCGAGGCACATGCGCGCCGCCATGGACACTGTGGAAACATGTTGGCACAACTCGTCCTCAGGGTCGCCAGGTGTAATAATTGACTCAGAATGAGAAATAATGAGCGAGTTGCAAGTTTCACACTTCCCGTTTCAGCTTACTGTTAAGAAAAAAATGCCAACAAGAGTGTTTTCATGTTGCCTTTCTCCTCCGAAGTGTGCGTAAAGTAAAACAACATTCGTAACTACGCACTGAAACAACTTGATCCATCGAGCAGGACGAGTTTAAATCACACTGAAAGACACACTGATAGAGTCAAGTCTCACTCCGGTGATAAAAGAGGCCGGAGTGGGAGAGAGTGGGAAGTCCAGACTGCTGGCTCTCTCTCTGCTGGATCCTGGCTTCACACCAGAGTTTACTTCACTCCACTCAAGATAAACTAGATCCAGTTTTAACAACCTCTTCTGTCCGCTCCGGTCTCACGAAGAAATGATCACCTCTAGTTCAAACCATGAATACATACAAATCATGTTGAACTGTTTTAAAAAGCACATTTTAGTGTCTGTCTTCTGTCAAAGACCCCATTACTGCCTGTCACTTTTTTATGATGTGCATTCAGATTTATGTGAGGAAAATGCTTTAAAATATGATTAATCTAAAAAGACAGTTATAGCATAACTCAATACAGTTTCCCCTTCACTAAATCTTTGGTGGGATTTGTGTGATTTTATTTATTGCAAGTTGTGTTGGATAGTGAGTTAGCTAAATGCAAAGGAATGTTAAAATGTAATCTGTTTGGAAAATGTCACAAAAATAACTCCCAGACACACATCCATGGCTTTATCTGAAAGTAATTATGCACAGAATAAGAGAGTTTGGTTTTGAATAGACAAAATACTTTATTTTTAAAATTATATAACAACAAATACAAATAAATATTATACTACATAAACATTTTTGGAATAAGTATAAAACCAAACAGGACCACACATGGATGGATTACATAAGTTGTTGATGGATTTTCCAGAAGGTTCCCAGGCTCACACACTTGGAAACACACATTGTAGTTGAAAATATTTCGACAGCGATATGTTACTCCTTGTTTTGGCTCTGTGCCCAAACACTGGGTTCAAAATAAAATAAAAAAAGGTAACATTGAGGTTAAAATGCAGACTTGAAATAAAGACCTTGTTTACCCCTGGGAGTACAGCATGTCCAAAAGGTGCATCATTTCCAAACACTTCGTCAGAAACCAATGTAAACAAAGTCAGACTGAAGTCAAACGTCAACACTTTCAATGCATTGGGATTGTTTCTTACATCTCAAGTTCATTCTGTTGGAGTACAGAGCCAAAACTAAATGTCAAAAATATTTCCAGACTCCTTTCCATTCATTTCATAAAGCCAGACCTTCCTCTGCCAAATGAATATGTATAAATATTGACGTTAGAAAAGGATGTTTATCAAGCAGATTTAAGGCAGAGGTGAGCGATCTGAAAGAGGTAAAGACATCTCACTTCTTAACTCAGAAGTGGAAAAGCAGAGTCACATCTTTATCTAATAATATTCATTTCACAGAGTATAAAATGCTTTGGTCCTTGGGGTCTAGTTTGTGCTCTGTCCTTTCATAAAAGGTGACAAAGAACCAAATGTCCTGACAACACAGTGGAGTCAGAAGGAGTTACTCCGGCAGCAGGTCGTCTCCCAGCTCCTCGTCTGCGAAGTCGTCGTCCTCCACGCGTCTCTTGGCTCCCGTCTTCGGTCTCTCCATCTGCGGCCCCAGAGGGTCCACGTAGGACGCATCTGCACCAGAGGAACACAAGCTTTACTCAGTATCAACATGTCCTGAGTCCCGCTAACTGATAGCATTTGGTCTTTGAAGTTAAACTATTATACTGTTTTCATCAATATAGTATAGGTCTCAGATACAAAACATGTCTCTGAAGTGTTTGGCTCCAAACACCAAACAGATCATTGCAGCATTACCCATAATCCCCTCTGTTTCAGCCCTGTTTCAAAAGTGCTGATTCTCTGTCTGTTACTTTAGATGAAAATAAGGAGCCCCTCCCCACGCCCCTCTGAGAGAGATTTGGTTAGAAAGAACTCAATGGTGCTCTAGGAGGAGATTCAGGTGATAAGGTGTGTGTGTGTGTGTGTGTGGGGGAGGGGGGGGTTACCTTGGTCGTTATGACATCATAAAGTGGCCAAAATCTGATCAGCTCATTTTCAGACAGGTTTTTATATAAATGGATCAGGACAAAAAAAGAGAGAGAATCTTTTTTCCTGAAACTTAGAGTCTCATAGAAGAGGGGACACATGTTGATGTAGAAGAGACATGAAGAAGAGGGGACACATGTTGATGTAGAAGAGACATGAAGAAGAGGGGACACATGTTGATGTAGAAGAGACATGAAGAAGAGGATTTTGCACAATAGGTGACCTTTAAAAAGCACACCTACATTCCTACACTAGATGAACAAAGCAGTGAGTCACGGTGAGTGCATGCATTCAAGAGCTTCTTAATGGCGGCTGCTTGTGGCTGAACGTGATGCTGAATACACAAGAGGACATATTATGCTAATTGATATGTTCTTATTAGTATTTTGTGCACTCTTTTGACTCAAATCCTCTAAATCAAAAAGCAATTGTTTTTTTAGTAGGAAAAGAGAGATTGAGTTTAATAAAGTCTTCATAAGTCATGTTACTGGATAAAAGTTGAAAACAGTTCAGTCTGATTGACTTTGATTGGATCAAACGGTTCACAGATAGAAGAGAATAAATGAGACACAGTTTATTTGATGTAATTGGTTGCAGAAGAGAGGAGAGAGGACTTGTGATTCCTCACCTATTTCTTTTGGGCTGCTGGCCTCGTACGGCTCGTTGGATCCAGGAAGTGACCTCATCTTGGCGCTCAGACGCTCTCCTTTAGTGCTGCTGCTGTGGGCGCTGTCTGCACCAAACACACAAGCAAACACAAACTCAGGAAATGCTAATTTGACATGAGCTATGAAAAAAAGTCTTCATTTGATTAAAAAGGTGTTGAAAGGTTCCTCTAAGATGGACCCATTCCTGTAGTGACACTTCATCCTCATCGGGGCGTTGGAGCAGCCTGCATGTGTTTCTATATAAATGTCCGTGCATATATACTGAACACTAAGCCATGCCATTATTCAGCAGAAGACCTTCACTCCCCAAGAGACACAGTTGATCAGAGAACAGCTGACGGATATGAAAGGTCAGACACTGGGTTTTCTCACATTTGGAAAAGTCAACATGGAGCAGATGTGAGAGAGAGACAGTAAGTTATGAACCGTCTGTGTATGTGGGGAATTTGTTTTTAGATGTATTGTTATTGTGGTTGTATAAATGTAATTGATGGTGCTGTTGGATTCACTGTAGACCTTTAATACAGTCGCTGGCCTCCCTTTGCTAAGTAAATGTATTTTTAGCTAAGTGAAAAGTTGTTCTGGAAAGGCTGAACTTCAAGATATTTGTCCATCCGACTGAACTGAATAACTCGCCCAGGTGTTATCAGATATCAGCCATCATCCAAAATATATCAGTCCCTGCAACACAACTGTTACGGACCTTTTTGAAGCCAGTGCAGTAGCACTTCCTTTGGTTTGGCTAATTTAAAGCAAATGTACCTGCAGGATTCTTGCTTTTGAGTTTTCATGGTTGAATCAATTTGTAATGTAATAAAAGCAACAACTCTGGTCCTAATCCCCTCAGACAGAGAGCTGGTACTCCTTACGACACATGATGAATTTGTTTCAGAATGTGCATCTGTGCTGCAGACTCTGATGACAGACTGAAGGACAGACAGGCAGGCGGAGCAAACATCTGGCTGCCAGGTAGCGTTGGAAACGGACGAGAGGAAAGGCAGAAAGCAGAAAAACAGGAAGGAGAAGGAGGCCAGATATGTGTCCGTTCCTCACGGCACTACACATCTCACAAACAGCTGGAAACCTCTGCCGGAGAATCTACTTTCCTCCCTATTTCTTCTCCTATTGGTATTCATAGGACAGCCCTTCAGAGACCAGGACGAGATGACAACAGATTGGAAGCTAGGCTTAACATCGATCGTGTGTAACAGTTTCCACATTAAAGCTGCAATGTTTTCATTCGCCTCCACAGCACAGAGGCCATAACATCTCTGTCAGGGGAGAATATCCATGAGTCAACTCTCTGGCTTTTGCACTTTCTGGCTCTTAAGTTATCTGGAAAAGTACTTGGAGAATGGTTATTGTTAGTCATTGGCAAAGGGAGAGGGAGAATGTACACAAGTCAAGAGATTCAAAACTAGTGAAAAGAGTTCAAAAACAAATGTTATTTAGGTTACATTGACCAACTTTCCCAGGTAGAGAAACCCTCAGCCTTTTCACACACTCGGTTTAGAGAGCTGGAAATGTGCAGCCCTTACGGAAAAGAGGGAGAATTCTCAGGTGCTCAAATATCCTCCTGTGAGAGAGTTCTGTGCAAACACTGATGGAGTCCTCACAGCTGCCTGTCGAGAGGTTTCTGGAGCCGGTTCAAGGGTCTCAACCCAAACACTATACTGAGGTTTACACACAGAGAAACTCTCCTGCATGTTTCACTCAGATGGTATCAAGGTGTACGGTGGATTTCAATGTGTATCTTATAAACAATGATTGTGCACATGCTGTTCTGTTGTATTATGTTAAGACACTGGAATAAATCCAGAGAGAACGTGTTTGTTTTTCCATTTCTCTTCCATTGGAATGTGTCTCTTTCAATGAAGGAATAAATCAATCAACGATGCAGCGGAGTTTAAGAGCCAGGGTAGTATAATTGTTCTTCCCTTTTGTTATATACGTATACACTGAACAAAAATATAAACGCAACACTTTTGTTTTTGCTCCCATTTTTCATGAGATGAACTCAAAGATCTAAAACATTTTCTACATACACAAAATAACCATTTCTCTCAAATATTGTTCACAAATCTGAAAAAATCTGTGATAGTGAGCACTTCTCCTTTGCCGAGATAATCCATCCCACCTCACAGGTGTGGCATATCAAGATGCTGATTAGACAGCATGATTATTGCACAGGTGTGCCTTAGGCTGGCCACAATAAAAGGCCACTCTGAAATGTGCAGTTTTGCTTTATTGGGGGGTCTGGGGGGGTCCGAAAACCAGTCAGTATCTGGTGTGAGGGTTAGGAGGTTAGGGTTAGGGTAATGTTGTGAATCGAGTGGCCTGTGTTCGTCGTCCATAACATACGCCTGCCCATACCATAAACCCACCACCACCATGGGCCACTTGATTCACAACATTAACCTAACCCTAACCCTAACCCTCACACCAGATACTGACTGGTTTTCAGACCCCCCCAGACCCCCCCAATAAAGCAAAAATGCACGTTTCAGAGTGGCCTTTTATTGTGGCCAGCCTAAGGACCACCTGTGAAATAATCATGCTGTCTAATCAGCATCTTGATATGCCACACCTGTAAGGTGGGATGGATTATCTTCGGCAAAGGAGAAGTGCTCACAATCACAGATTTTTTTCAGATTTGTGAACACTGAGACTGCCAAGGCACTACAGGGGATACGGGACTTAGATAGTCACGTAGAGGAGGAGTAGCGCGAGAGGTGTGTGTTTATCGTCACGTGAGTGTTGGGTTAGGTCCTTGTATGTGGTGATCATTGGCGCATCTGACTCTCTCATGCCGCGATTCTATATTTTTGTCTGCCTAAAAGATGTATTACTAAACAGAGTGTGCGTGGCCTTTACAATTTTCTACCGGCGAAAGTCTTTCACACCCATTTGAGATTTTCACCAAACGACCGAAACTCACTTTAAACTACAGCGTGACTTGTTTTTATGCTTTGCCGTTGCGAAAACAAAAACCGAGGTAAAGAAGTTACTCTAACTTCGAGCTTCTATATTTTTGTAAAAGAGTAAAGTTGTTT